AAAAAAAAAAAAAAATAAATAATAGAAAAAAAAAAATAGAAAAAAATAAAGAAAAAGAAAAAAAAAGAAAAAAATATCTCTTTAATTTTTATTAAATCCTAGAAAGGTCCATTAAATTTCAATAAATTTGCCGGATTTTTCAGTTATCTTAGTCACTTTTCATAAAAACGTCGCGAAAAATTGTCAACTCAAACACATTCCTCCTTCGCTACTTCCCTGATTTTTTTATGTGTGTGTGTTTGTGATTGCTGCCTTCAGCTCACTGATCTTTTAAGGGTTGTTCTGGTACAAATGATCCTTGAGATAACTCCACAGATTAAAATCTGCGGGGGCTCAAGTCCGGTGAATGCAGTGCCCACTCAATGTCTTTACTAATAACAAGATCATCGATCTATTTGATTAAAAACTATTTTATTGTTTGCAAATTTACACAAAAATGATTACTACCATGTTACTAAAAATATCTATCATGATGGCAATTTACAACCTGAATCTACAATTCAGTTCAAAGGAAGCCAATCATAATCGTAATCATAGGTAATGAAGCACCTGTCTCTTCAGAAACGGTTTACGTTCACACAGTGAAAAAATACCATTTATCACTGATAGATCTCCACAGGACAAGTCTATTCATTTTCATCTACTCTGAATCCATGTACCTAAACACCTTGATCTTCCCTCCGTACTGAGACACTACTAAATCACCATCATGGTTGATGGTTAAACCACGTGCAGCCTGCAACCCATCTTCTTCTGTTGCTAAGAACTGGAGAAACTCGCCATCATTTGAAATGATGTGAATTTTGTTGGTGTTGTAGTCAGCAATTATAATGTTATCATACTGGTCAACACAGACACCGTGTGGATTACCGAGTTGATTCTGTCCAGAGCCAGTGTAGGTGTGGAGCAGTGACCCAGTGGGACTCAGGATGAAGACTGCTTTAGCATGCGTATCAGAAACAACAATGTTCCCATTGTTAAGAACTGTCACATACCAAGGCCACTGAAAGCTACTGTGCTTTATGGTACCCACTATTGCACCGTGAATGTTGACAATGCTCACTTGCTTTAAATCAGGCTGAGCAACCAGAATGGTATTGGAGTTGGTAACATGTAAACCATCAGGGCCTTTCATATCCACTTCTTTAGTAATATTTAAGTCCCGTGACATGAAATTTAGTTTATTGTTGCCAAATTCAGAGACCACTGTGGTACCATCAGGTAGTACTGCTATACCAAAGGGGCTTCCCAGTAACCTGTTACCAGCCTTGGACTGCTGCACAAGGAGTTGTCCATCTAAACTGAATCTGCACACTTTGTTGTTATCATAATCCACCACCAGGTATCCGAGCTGCGGCTTGGAACAGGTGGTAATACTATATGGATTGCTACAGTTTGAATCAAACTGACTAACCAAGTGTTGTTTATCTTTGATCTGTGCCTTCCGTGTTCCAATCAATGGTCCACGTGAATTAATGCCTTTAATATCTTGTCTGTCTTGTTGTATCTTTCCAAGTCCTGTCCCCTTGTTCACTTCTCTGTCAACATCATTGTTGGTCTGTAGCTGTAGGCTGAGGTGCTGTGGGATATCACCGCCACAAGATGGCAGTAGGAGCTCCTGTAACCTCTCTCCTACTTGCTGCTGTAGAATGAGGATCTCGGCTGGAGTACCACGGGACAGGATGCTGTCTACTAGATCTGAGGTGCTCTTCATGGTTGACGTGGTGACCTCACAACTCTCCAAGTACAAGGTGATGTTCTTCTTATGAGCCTCGCTGACTTGCTGAACTTCTTGGAGAAGCTTTTTCTCCTGCTGCTGAATCTGTTGCTGAAGATGGCGGCTGTGGTCTGAGATGTCCTTCATCACAGAGCTGGTGTTTGTATCGTGGTCCCTGAGCACGCCCCGCAGGATGATTAACTCGTTTTCTTGTACGCTGATCTTGTCGTCTAACTTCTCCAGCATGGACGCCAGTTTAGGCTTCACTGTTTCTATGGCAGTATCCAGGGATGTGCACTTGTGCTCATCATGAGTGAGGACCTTGCAGTCACGGCATATGGGTATCTGGCACTTAAGACAGAAATACCTGATGGCTTCTGCTTTGTGCTCAGGACAGAAAACAAGCTGGAATTCCTGGACCTCTTGTCGGTGTTCTACACTGTGTAGCTGCTCGAATGTGTAGACCTTGTGGTTGATTAACATTTTGAAACGGGTATGATACTTGGCACAGGGACTACAAAGGTACTCACTGCAGTTGAGACATTTGGACACTGCCTCAACATCTTCGCCCTCTACGGCACAGGCACCACATTTCTTCTTCCTGGTCGGTGTGAGCACATTGTCCTGGAGACTGTCAATAAAGTAGTTATGGAGAAATCCTTCAACTCCATCTTCAGGAATTTTTGTCTCTTTCTGGCACAAGGGACACAGGAACTTGTTTCCTGGAATTGAAAATAATTTACACACTTCAGTTTACTGATTTTCTTTAGAAAAAGCTTGGTTATATGTACTTCATATATCCCAGTTTCTGTCATATGTTATTCTTTACATTTTTTTGTTTAATGAGAATAGTAAATCATTAACATTGTATGTTTGATTTCAAACTTTTTCACAAAAAATTTTTTTGGTCGATAAAATGAATATGAATTCAACTGACTGCAATTTTAATATGATAATGCATTAAAAGACGGGCTAATTACATTTAAAGAGAGGGGTAGGGACATTGATAATTTTCGAAAATGGGGGAAACAAACATATTAGATAAGAAATACTGTTATAGGAAAGAAAAGACGTTCTTTACTTGATGAACGTGAAGAAATTACTTTTGAATTTGAAGCATTATTTGTGGCTTAAACACGTCATTATAAACCAAAATGTACAATTACCGTCCAACATTAATTTATCATTTATCATTTATGAAATGTTTTACAGTGTTAGCACAGTATTTTATATTAATGTACAAAAGTGCCACGAGTTCATGTATTTCAATTCTAACATGTCACATGTCGCATTTTGTGAATTATCAGGGACGTAGTCGGTCACTCATGTAATAAAGGATAGGGACAGTGCATGTACTTAACAAAAATGAATCTACTCCCTGGTTAAATTTGGGTGACAACACGCCCTACCTGGTGTATTATCGGGGATATAGTTGGTCAGACATCGCTTATAGGTGTGGAGACAGGGGAGAACTGTGGGATCTTCAAAAACTTTACGGCAGATGGAGCAGTTGGTGAAATTTTCTCGAATCTTTGCCCTCAAACTTTTGTCTTCATCTCCAATTGAAGCGGTCGCCATTTTAAAATGAGCAATGCGTCATATCTATCTATCTATCTATCTATATATCTATATCTATATATATATATATATATATTAANACCTGGTTTTGTTATTCGCGCCCTTGGAAGGGTTTCTGATTTTTGATGCTATATTCAGGGGCTCTCTTTTTTATCAGTGCCTGTTAATTTGATTTTTGAGTTTATCACAAACCCGCT